AAAAAACGTCGTCGTTTCGACTGATTAATCAACATTACTCTTATTGTTACTTTTAAATATCATTTTAATTTCAGTTCTTTTTAAAAAATTTTTAAAATTTAATTTCAGATTTCTCTCTTCGTGCCTTTCTGTCAATAGTTCCATCATGGTAGCTGTCAATCTGACTTTTCACAAAATGGGCTAGTTGTGCTAGCTTACGACACAGCTCTACCGTTTAATCATTTTTTCAACTCTTACTCGAGTTCTTTGGTGATCATCATGTTAGATTTGATAAGTATGTTTTTCTGACTAATGATGGATTCCGATTCCTTGTTGCTGCTGTTGTGGTCCATTTGACCTTGTAAGGACATTTGAACTTGTTGACACTAGACAAGTGGTAACATTATATTGGCACATAAAACCGATAAGAAAGACAGAGATCAACAGGATTAACACCAATTTTCTGGTTTAACGCAGAGAATTCATTTCTTATGGTAAGAAATTTGAATTAGAAGACATTTCGCTTGCTTCCTTTTATGTTTGGTCTTTTTTAATCTTTTGAATATAACAATTTATTTGTCACATTTATTAAAAAAATGAATTTAATTGGTTGACCATTATCTTCACTTCTTGTCTAAAAATTTCGCTCCGCATTCAAATGATTAGCTCATTGATTGCAATCATTGGCTGATTCCAACTGATTGTTTCTCTTAACCAACTCTAAATTCGATGAAATCTGTTTCTCAATCGAGAAATCAAAGAAAATTGAAATTGGTTTCTACGTAGGGGGAAATATTTTTGTTGCCTCCTACACGAACTTTCGCTACACTGTATAGATAATTCATAAAGATTTGTTTGATGCATAAACACTTAAATCGACTGTGTTGCTTGCAAAGGGATTTCTTTTTTCAACATCTTGGAAACCATAGGTCCCAGAAAAAAATGCATTTGATATTTGAATTCTTCAGCACAAATATGTTCAAATGCAATCACAAATATCCCCCTTGCAAATGTTAAAATTCAAAAGGCCATTATCTCGCAAACCGTTGGTTATAGAAAAAAATAGATTCGACGGCTGGATTTTTTGGCTAAGAAATACTTTAAAAAATATGTCAAATGAGCATTTACTCATGGTGCAGTTCGAAAGGCCGTTTTCTCGAAAACTATAGTTCGTAGAAAAAAATAAGTTTTAGATTCGGTCTGTTCACGTAAAAATACATCTAAATTATATCTCTCAAAAAATTCTAATTTTGAGGCGAAAATGGTCTTCGTCCTTAACTGTAGATTAAAGTTAATGTTAACTGTTTCAACATTTGATGTTTGGTTTGTTTCACAAGATTACATCGACAGTTGATTATTGACTAACTATTGAAATGTTCAGATTTCTCATGGGCTTGGAAAACTCAATCAAGATTAACCTTTTCAGTTTGAATGTTAATGGTAAAGGTAAATCAATACTGGTTCAAAAACGAATCGACGAAATCGACTACCCTTATAAAAATTCAAAAGCAGAAGCACTATTCAATGAGAATCCTTAACTTGGTCTGAGGAGTTAACCTCCAAGAACGATATTAACAATGATTTCATGGATTTGTGGAGCCAAGTTTAGATTGAATAATGTTCAAAATAAACTTTAATCAAATTAATTATGAATTTGAAAAATTTATCCCTTGACTTTTTAGGACATTATAAGCCATATCTACTCCTTGTTTGTGCTTTAGTAAATTTATTATTGGATATTTGATTTTTAAGATCCACTTCCCTTTGCTTTGCTTGATAAGCAAGGTATGTAATTTGATTCTTATATTTAGCTAACTGACTGGGTTCAGGTCCTTTAACTGTTGGTCCGGATTCCATGCTTATAGATTTTAAAAGTTCATAATTGCCTGCTAAGTATGAGCCAACATTTAATTCAACTATATCGATTTTTTTCGACTGGTTCTTCACCAAATTTAGAAGCTATGAATTTCTTAAACTCTGGATCATTGATGTTATTAGTTGGTGGTTGTTTACTTTCATTTTGCTGGGAATAATTGATGTTGTTGACATATTGTAATCTACATCACTGTATTTAAGCTCAGCTTCAGGTTTGGATTTAACAACAAGTATGATCGTTTCAATATTTGCATCCAATTGTTTAGTTGACTGTACATCACCAAATGAAAAGAAGGAGGTTGGAGTTTCATCATCATCGTTTGATTTTAAAGCGGAAGCTTTTTAAGGTCGCTTTGAAGGAGGTATATCAGTTTTTGGCCGTGAAATTGAGTGAGGAATAAGTGAAGCAACAGATATTCATACATATGATAATCGACTCGGATTAGTTACACTGTCAACAAATGTTAACCTTGAATTAATACTTCTGTCTAGTAAATTACAGTCTAGGATAGTTTAGAAACTCTTTTAAATAGAATGGAGCCGGTTTTCTGATTATTATGAAATCAAGAACATCTTCTGGAAATTGTTCACCATTAAATCCAGCAACAGATTTACTTCCCCTTTTAACCTTTCCCTTTGAATAGAGAACATCTTCAACTCTTTAAAATCCAACATATAGAATCCTTTCCCTCATTCATTAATCTAATTTTCTGTCGATGTAGAATCCAAGATTTTTCTAGCAAATGAAACGTAATACTTTTTAGTTATCGACCTTTCCAGTTTTGAATAAATGTCTACATATATTTTTCAATTCGCCAATATCTTCTCTTGTTGAGTGTAAGTGCAGTCAAACCTCTAAAAATTAGACTCTCTTAAATTGAGACGTTACCAAGCAACATAGACGCAGCACCGCTAATTGAATATAAGGATAAACTAAAAATGAATTAAAAATTACATATAATGACCGATGCTGAGCACAATTGATTTCAGAGACTAAGAAATTATCATTAGTTTAATAAAAACTTAAATTTAATCATACATTATGTATTATGAACGTTTCTCGAAGTCCAAATCTATTTTCAGAGTTGATGCTTTATAAATAGCCTCAAAGCTATCCCCACGAAGTCTCATTTTGTGAGGTTTGACTGTATTGTGAAAAGTTATTAAACGCTTTAGTAAGTGTCTGTGTAAATCTCAACTTTTCAGTTTTTCCAGATTCTATTGTTATTATCTAACTATCTGACTCTTAGTCTATATTATTTAGGCATAAGCATTAGTTTGTTTTATAATGTTTATCAATGAACTTCCAGATGAATGTTTGCTCATCATTTTTGGCTCAATAAATGAATTGGATGATTTAGTAAGCTGCTATAAAGGTAAGTTTTTTTTAAATCAAAATTAAGTTACATCAATGAACCAGAGACTCTGATTTAAATCAAATTAAAATCCAGTTTAGCTATATCGATACATTTGAGAGCTATAGTATCATAATCTAGGTTATAACATGATAAATATAATCATTTGACTGTTAAAGCATGATATTTGCATGTTTTTACAAACGTTTTATTTTGTCTTGTTTCTTAATGTTTTATTTTAGTATGCAGCAAATGGAGCCATTTAATTGCGGAGCGAACTAGAAAAGTTAAATATTTGTTTGGTAAGCACCTAATTTTTATCGATACTTATTCTCATTTTGAATGAATTTTTTCATTTAACTAATTTGTGCAGAACATTACGAGTGCTGGAATGGTGAAACCTCTCCAAATTATGCGTTGGATCATGTTTATTATTGCAAACAGGAACAGATTGATGCAACTTGTCTGAGCACATTTTTTCCAAATTTAATTGTTAGTTGAATCATTTCTTGTTTTGTTTGTCGATTACTTGCTGGCTAATTATTTTTTACGTTATTTGTTGTCTTACTACCTTAGATCGCCGATTTTTCTGGATTCCTTGCAAAAGTAAAATATGAAACTATCGTAACATTGGCCAAAAGGATGAAATCTTTAAAAGGAGTGAGTAATCATTACCATTATGACAGATATGAATCGATTTTCCAATATTGTGATGGACTCCAAATGGTATCAAACTATGACATTGAGCCATGGATAAGAGAGAATGGTGCCAACATTAAACAATTGCACCTTTACAGTTCTAAATTGGATAGATTCAAGGAAGATGCACATTGTTTTCCAAATCTTGAAAGGTTACATATTTTTAATACTGAAGGTGATTTTATAATACTTTTATATTTTAAACAAATTTTTGATACTGAGCATTCATCTTTTATCCTTAGGCTCGCCAGATGGTCCTTACGATGGTCCCGTATTAGGAAGACTTAAAATAGTTGAATTGGAGTTACCTTCTGATACAACCAGACGAATTTATTATGGTTTTCAGTTCATGGATTCATGTCCAAATTTGCAAAGTGCTCATATTAGTTTGCAGTCTTGTCGCCTTTTTGTTGATGAATCATTAACGCACAAATCTTTGCAAGATTTAGTTATTAGGCTGATCCAAGCAAAATTTCCGGATTTTGATTCTTGATAACTTTTTTGTTTCTTAATGGAATCTTATGATTTTTTCATCGAGTAATATGTGCACCTTCTAGATCATTTATATGTTGTCATTTTTCTTCTAACTTCAAAACTCCGCTCATGCGGCCACTCCCGTTCAGGCCACTTACCGCTCGAAACTGCATATGAAAAGCGATTCCGTTCTAATCCATTGACATCATTAGCTTCCTCTAGGTCCCATGAATATTTGCTGATACGAAAGGATCGGGTTCTTCACCTTCTGCATCCCATCGGTGAGCTTTAGACCGATCTGCAAATCTTGCAAATGCTGACCCATAGTTCATTCGTCTGTTAGAGTACGCTTGAGTAAGATTTTAGTTTTCTGTAACATTCTGAAGTTACTGCGGCAGCAAATAACACAGAGTTGTCGTTGAAAGTCAGTTAATTCTCGGGGTACCCATTTGGAGAGAATATTCCTGTACCGCTATTTGCCTCTCACAATCCTTTGCACATTACCATAGGGTATTGATATATGGCTCGCAAGAGACCTTAAAGACCAATGTCTCGATACAGAAAAGCATTCTTTTATAGTAGCAATTCTTCTTCGTCTTTCGGCTTATCATTGCATGCACCTTCTCTTTTCTCTGCAGTAGGATTTTCTCCATTCTTTATCGCGGCTACCCAATTTCTTACAGCCCTTTCGGTAGAGGGCTTGTCGGAAAACATTTTCTTTAGCTCATCATGAATATGGCTAGCAGTGTAGTCTTTTAATACTAAATAATTTGCGATTTTAATCACTTTAACCTTGATAATCTCATTTTTTAGCGTTGAGGCAAATTCTGTTGTTGAAAAAAGAACTTAAGCAATTTAATTTGAAACTTGAAGAAAAATGCCGTAAAATGATGCATAGCAACCCAACCTGGGTTTAGTTATCGCTGAATGGCCCTGCTGCAAACTCCGGAAATTTTGCTTGGATCAGCCTAATATAACATTTGTAAGTATTATCTGATTTGAAATGTATTTGCTTTTTAGTGAAGAATTCTTAAAATTTTTTCCAAATCAGATACAATAAGAGATGTTCGTCATGCAAAACTAAATTCATCTGTATTTTACTAATCTTTATATTCACAGTATAATTCAGTTTATGATGGTATTTTCGACTGGGACGAATTGAAAAGATTGTTCATGAAATATCCAAATCTTAAACATCTTGCACTGTGCGACAACAGGAAACTGAGAGATTGGCATATCGAGCGATTGGTTCGCATTTTACCCAATTTAGTGTTATTTGCTGTTCGTGGATGCCCAAGAGTCACTCAGGCGGCTGCTAATTATGTTCAAGACTATAATAAACTTTATGGACGATCAATCAAGTTTTACTTTAAAGATAACTACCATGAAATTCAATCAGATTGGCCTCAGTTATCAACTAGAGGTGAAAAAATCAGCCAAGGTTTTGATTTCATGAAACATTGCTTTCTTAAAGATTTTGACAACCTTTCTGCTTTCTTGATCACTAGCGATAACTAAACAACAAAAATGCACAGTAAAGCTCATTTTTTAATCGGCCAATTCTGGTTAATTGTATCGTTTTCTAACTTTTATTATATAATTGCAGTTTGTTCCGTTAACTGTTTTTCGTAAATACACGAACAACAGTTTTATTACAATATGTATAATTGATAACGAAAACTATCTCATTCTTGTATTTGTCTCAAAGCTACTCATCACCATTAAACATATATTAATAAAATAATATTAATTTTTGACTCTTCTGCATGAATTGATTTAAATGAACTATTATATTTAACTATAATGACGACCTTTATTCAATAGTTTGAAATAGCAAGCTGAAGTGATTGTTCAATAATCTGTTAAATCTTAAGTGAAACCGGGTTTATAGGCTGAATTATATTTCTGGATATTCGTCCGATTGAATGCTGTGAAATCGTCAGAATTATTTCTTTTAGCTTCTATGGAATTTAATAGTAAATTCAAAGGTTACTAAAAAAACAATTGAAATTTTAATCTTATTTTTAACTATTAATAAATTGTATCTTATTTAAGTATCAATCAAATTGGGAATTCATTAATCGAGTATCTCATTGAAGGTTAAACAAATGATTACTATTTACGTAAATCCATTTTAACATTATCTATTAGCATTTCCTATTCGAAATACGTCAAATGCTCGTTGATATCAACGAAAATCAGATTTATTTAAACAAACCAGATGATAGAGTTAGACTACACTGTTTGCAGTAAATCTATTAGTTAATGGATAACTCGGTTATACTAGTTTTACGCATATCTTTTTTTTGATAAACGCCATCTACTATACGTAAGATGCTTAATAATACCAGTGGTAATATAGTAGAAATTAAAAATTAAAGGGTGTTTCAGGCAAGTTGTCACAAATGCTTAAAGCTAAATGAGCTTTATTGGTCAAAGATAAGAAAGGTTTAGGTAACAAAAAACATTAAACAACACCACCTATGAACCTTAATTATGAATTAACTTAAATTACCATAGTTTAAAATTGAAATTAATTTAAATGGTCATAGATGGTGTTGTTTAATGTTTTTTTTTGTTATCTAAACCTTTCTTATCTTTGACCAATGAACTGTTCCCTTCTTTAAAAATTTACCCATTTCCATACAGTAAGATCCCAGATAATGAGAGTCCCACATAATGAGATAAATTTATCAACGATCCCTAATTAAGGAGGAGTTAATTCAATTTGAATTTCATCAAATTTCATTTTGATTTCTTTAATTTTCAATTGATTTGATTCGAATTTCTTTCGTAAAATATTAATCAAAAAACTCACGAAATCATTTTAAACTAACATTTACGATAAAATTCGATCTATTAAGGGAGATTGAAAATCATGAAATAAGCTGCCCGATGAATAGTGAAAATAAGCTATTCCACAGTACTC